ACATGTTACTCCATAAATATGCATAGTTCTTCTTGTCTTTATCAGTTAATAAAATAGTGCACATTTAATGGTTTTTTATTTACAGATTTGTGCAACCATTACCAGTTGGTTTTAGAACATTTTCATCCCCGCCTCCCAAATTCCCATGCCCATTCGCCATCATTCCCTGCTCCTCCGTCTCCAGCCTCTGCCCACCACACGTCTTTCTCTGCACCCTTCCTGTCCAAGCCAGCAGCTGCCATCTCCTCAACCAGGATGAGTAGACAGGAACTCCTCTGGCCTAGGTCCAGGTCTTACCACTTTCCTGTCACTGAGACACAATACCCAGCACCTACAGTTTAAAAGAAGGGAAGGTTTATTTTGGCTCACAGCCTGTAGACGTTTCAGTCTGTAGTCAGATGGTTCCAAGGCAGGGTAACATTTAGAGGAGAAGCAGCTCATGACATAGCAGCAGGAAGTGTGGGAGGATGGTAAACCCTCTAGGCCACATCTCCAGTGACCCACCTCTTCTGATCAGATCCCACCTCCTAACAGCAAGTCAGCCATAAACTCATCAGTTGACTAATCCACTGATGATTATCATACCCCCATGATCTAATCACCTTCCAAAAGCCTCACCTAGGAGCACATGAGAATTGGGGGGGGGGCATCTAGATATAAATCATAAAGGTCCTTGTGCCCCTTTTCTGGCCCTGAAGCACCTGGTGCCCCAAGCCTTGGCTTGGGTTTTGTTCCCTTTCTGCTTTCTTTCATCTCCCAAGTGCACACAGAATCCAGGTTTATTGAGAAGGCAGGTTCACATTGAGGGATTGGGCAGCAGACTGAACCCACAGCATTTTCGATCTTGCATCCAAGTTCAGGGCTCCTGACCAGGCTGATCACAAAGCTCTGGATGTACATTCCAGTCATCCCTCCCAGACCCTCACCCTAGAGAAAGCCCTAAGGTTGAGAAGGCAAGAATCCTAGGATCCTGGAGCCTGGGGTCCTGCTCTCTGACCAGTCTTCCTGAAACTGATGTGTGTCTCATATTGTGCAAATAAGAAGTGAGCAGAAGTAGGAAGGAACTTGGGGGTAAAACTGTACACTGAGGAACTCCAGGATAAAATGCATAAGACTTTGCAGACATCCAGGCAGGATCTGTTGCTACTTAGTAGTAAGTACATGGTTAGAGAAATAAAAAGAACAAAACAAAAGTCAAGTTTAGAATTTGCTTCTAGTTTTGGCCCCTCCGTGAAGTAGTTGTGTGGCCCTTGGAAAGTTATTGCTTATCTTTGAGACTAGTTTTCACGTCCCCAGGTAAGGGAGGTGGATGGACTGATGTGTGCTATGCACCGCTCAGCAGTGCACAGGGCACAAATAGGCAGGTAGGAGGCCCCCTTCTAAGCTTATTTTCCAGATGAAACCTCTTGTTGGGACTACTTGTTCTGAGGTTGGATAAGACATGGACTTTACACAGTTGTTATTTTGTCCTTCCCTTAGTGTAGGGAATTGGCGTGTACAGTATTTCACCTGTTACCATGCTGGGGATCCACCCCTTGCTTACAGTAGAGTACCACTGAACTTCACCTCAGCTCAGGCCAGTACCCATTCAATTCTACTGTCTATACATCAAAAGGAAAATGATTATACTTAACCAAAATAGATTATCTAAAAAAGTCATGAATAACCCTATTGAAGCATTGCATGAGGAAGGCCACAGTAGAAGAGAAAGGACATTAATTTATTTTCGTAGGCTTTTTATTTCAATAAAAAAGCCACTGTTGAAGCTACATGCTCAGCCATTTATTGTTTGTTTGTTTGTTTGTTTAATTTTGAGGTAGGTATTTTTAAGTTAACTAAGTTGCCCATGGTGGGCTCAAACTTGGAATCATCTTGTCTCAGCCTCCCAGAGTGCTGAAAATACAGGCCTGTTGCCACCATGCCCTCTGAGATTTTATGGTTGTTACCACTGTCGTGTCATCCTAACAGCATCCATAGTAGTTATATCTGATCACTAGGGGAATTTTTGCTATACTAAAAACCCTAATGATTTCAGATTTAAAGGATTTCTTGCTGAATTACTGAGGTAAACCACTCTGTGTGGGTTGAAGAAAAATGTGAATGTCTTAGGGTGACTGAAGAGCAGGAGATGTTTAGTCTAGCAGTAAGATGTGTGGAGAAAAGGTGAAGCAGGAATGCTTTATGTCTCTGATGACTCCATCAATCTTCAGTATATTATTTTTTAAATTTCACAAAATGAATCAAGACATACACATGTGATGACAAGGCAACTGGCATGTTGGTTACAGTAGTTTACCTACAGGATGCAAGACAACCTCTAAGCTAGGTGGAAGTTCAAAGATCTATCAGGCATAACTCTTTCACGTGTACAGTTGAGGTAGAAAAGATGGATGATGAATAACTAAAGTAAAAAGTAGAATTTTACCTAAGGAATCGATTTTACTTCTTAAATGTCTCTCAAGTCCATCTTCCCTCTCATCACCACTACTCTAAAACCTTTCACTCTTCTCTACATTGTCTTCTATAATCTATATTTTCTACATTATAGCCACTGTGATCTTTCTAGAATATATATTTAACTTTGCTTTGTTCCTTTTTGTTCCTTTCCTTTGTTCCTTCTCTCTCTCTCTCTCTCTCTCTCTCTCTCTCTCTCACACACACACACACACACACACACACAAAATGAGTTTTCTCTAAACCATTTGAAGGTAGTTGCTACCTCATGACCCCCTCAGTATTGAAATCTGTACGTCCTAAGAACAAAAGGTACTCTCTTACATGACCACAATACAGTTATCACATTTTGACTCTTTGTCTCTTGTGTGGGACCTGCCTTATTACTTTCAGGATCTTTTCTTGGTTTTCAGTATATTGAAATTTCTCAAGATGTGCTTTGGTAGGAATGTATTTTATTCTTATTCATTAGGCTGGCCTTTTTTCAGAAAATTTGGAATCTCTTAAGAGTATACTCTTAAGTGAAATAAATAGGACACACATGTATAAATACCGAATAGTTTTCTCTAGTGTGAGAAACTGAAAGTATAACTAAGGACTAAAATGTATAATAGGTAATATGAAATAGGAAGAAAAGGGGCAAAGGGGAAGGAAGTGGGAGGGCTAGGGGAAAGGATAGAAGGGAATGGGATTAATATGAGAAAATGGAAAAATAGGAACAAAATCTTTGTAAATAGGGAGGAATGGAGGGGTTGAAGGGAGGGCTGGGCAAGGGTGAAAAATAAGAACCAAGAGAGACTATGTAAAGGTGCAAATTTCCAATGATGAATGTCATTATATTGTATATCTAAAATGTACCAATGATTAGAATGAATAATTGATAATGCAGAATAGGAAGAAAAGGTCCAAAGGGGCAGGGGAAAGGAAAGAAGGGCAAGGAAAAATGATGAGAAATGGAAAAAATGGAAATAAAGTCTTTGTAAATAGGGAAGGGTGGAGGGCGTGAAGGGAGGGCTAGGAATGGGGAAAAAATAAGAACCAAGATGCATCATGTAAAGGTACAATTCCCAAAGAGAAATGTAATTGTGTTGTGTACCTAAAATGTACCAATAAAAGAATTTAATAAAAAGAAAAGAAAATTTGGAAACTCATAAACTTCTTTTTTAGTGGTGTCTATTAAATTATTTTATTTTGATAATTTCTTCTCTCTTTCTTTGAACTCTTTTTAGAACTTCATTATTCAGATGTTGTCCCTCCCAGACTTAACCTCTAATTTTCTTTTTTCTTTTTTTTTGTTGAGTTCTAATTTCTCAAGATTATCTCTAAATTTTTCATTGTTCTACTGTTACATGTATTTCAAAGAGCCTTTGTTTTTCAACTTTTTTAAATAGCATCATGTTTATGGATTCAGTATCTCCTCATCTCTCTGAGGACATTGATGATGATAACCTTTTTGAAATTTTCATTACTGGTCACTTGTTTCCTGTAAGTTCCTTTTTAACATATCTTTATTATTTAGATACATCTTGCATGGAAGAATAGGACATTAAGAAACTGATGAAAATTCTACCCTGGACTTGACTGGCACTCACCAGTAGAGTGGTATTGTTGAGCTGTCGCCTTGGGGAGTCTCTGGAATCAGCTGTTTTGGGCTCTTGGCTCATTCAGATTCCCTAAAAAAGGCTCACTGTCCTCTGCTATCTGGAGTCAATTTGACTTCATTTCCTCTTCCCATTTTCAGTGTGGTTTCTGACATCATCAACTCTGTCTCATGGCCCACATTGGAAAGTTTGGTTTTTTTCACTTTTTCTAAGAATGAGCACCTCATTTTCTGTTGGAGCAATCTAACTGCTTCTGAAAGAGACTTTCAACCAGCTCTTGTCTTTTCTGCCTCACCTTTACCACATTTCTGGAAGGGCTTGGATCAGGAAGTGCTCAGCACATCAGTGCCTGAGCTCCAAGGACACACGGTGCACGGCAGGTGGGTCATTGGCTCTCCTAGCTATAACTGAAAATTCCCCTTTCTGGGGTCTTCTTACTTTACTACCTGTCCTTCTGCTCTTCAATTTCCCTTATTTTTTTTGGTATCATCTGTTTTCCTTTTACTTTTGTCTTTGTGATTTATATCTGTTAAAAAAATAAATAATTTCCTTTACTGTCTCAGTCGGATCTCTTCAGAAGTGTCACCTTTTTAATATGGAAAAAGAAGTATGTCTGACAGCAGTGAGTTGAAAACAGCTTTCCCAAAGAGCTACTGAAGGAGTGTTGCTCTATTGTGTTGACTCACTTGGAACACGCTAGAGCCCACATTAGGATCCTAAGACCCTGTATCTTTTACACTTTTTTGACAGTATTTTTGTCCATACAAGTAAAATGTTGAGGACCATACGTGCAGCTTGTCAGTGGGGTAATGCAGGTGGCAGGGAATGCCCAGAGTGCAGTAACTTCTGCTCTGGGCTAGGTACTGACCCCTACTTTGTTACGATGTTTTCTTTTCAGAAACAGCACTGTTTATCTCAGTTCCCAACCCCAAACCTGTCTTACAGGATGATGAAAGCCTCAAGTACCTCACACATGAGGAAAAAGACGTCATCCTGTTCTTTGAAGAGACTCTGGATTCCCTGGAAGATGACTTGGAGGAGCCAATCCTGTGTGACAGTGGCATTCATTGCCAATCTCCACAGTCTTTGGAAGAGAGCCCGTCCAGTCACTCTGAGCCTGAAGATGTCATCAATTTAGTGCAGCCTGGACCTGCTGCTGGGGAAGCGGAGTGCCTTCCAGACACATCTCAGATAGCAGGTGCGGGTGAAGCACAGGTCCTGGACCTGTATCCTGGTTTGCTGGTGTGTCCAAGACACAGAGTGCCTTTCTTCTGTGTCCTCTTGTGCCAGTTGAGCAGCTCCTAGGCTTCCACAGAGAAAACAATTCTCTTGGTCATTTGATTGTCTGGCAAGAGGATTTCTAAGGACTAGGATAAAGAATGAGACCATCTAAATAGGGTGTGTGTGTGTGTGTGTGTGTGTGTGTGTAAAGAAAACTAGAAGTGACTTCCAGGTAACAATTCTGTTATTCAAAGAAAACGTACAAGGCATTTTTTACTTCAGTGCAATATTATACCCCAGTTATTTTCCAGCATGGGGGCATTTGAACTAAAAGTCAGCTGGTTCAAAAGACAGAACAGAAATTCAGGTCAGCATCTACTTTGTACATTTCATTTGGCTCTTAGTGGCATCAAAGGATAGAAAAGCTTCTGTCTACCGAATCCTGTGATAGCAATCCAGGGAAGTGGACAGAGAGAAATTCCTTCCAATTTTTTTTTTTTCCTGATTGGAAAGGATACTGAAAAAACATGTGGGCAAGGGCATAGGAATGAAAGGATAAGGAAAAATGATAAGTAAACACTTCTTTTTTTGCAATACAGTGGTACCTCGGTTCGCAAACTTGATTCTTTTCATAATTCTAGTCACAGGGCCGGGGATTTAGCTCAGTGGTTCCAGCACCTGCCTCGAAAGCACAAGGTCCCAAGTTCGATCCCTGGTACCAAAAGACAAACAAAAAAAAAACCGTAATTCTAGTCACAAACTGAATTGATCATAAACCAAATCAAATTTCCCCATAAGGCCAACATTGAGCCTAACCATTGAATTAAATTTGGTTTGCAACTGATTTGCTTTGTAACCAGAATCATGCAAATAAGTTCCTGAACCAAGGTGCCACTGTACTAGGGATTGAACCCAGAACCTTTGCACTGAACTACATCCCTTTTTTCATTTTTTATTTTGAGACAGGGTCTCACTAAGTTACTAAGTTTTCCAAGCTAGGCTCACACTTGCAGTTCTCCTGCCTTAGCCTACCAGAGTGATAGGATTTTGGGTGTGTACCACCATGCCCAACTCAAGGGAAACACTTCTGCTCCGGTACTGTAAAATATCATCTTTTGTCATAAACCTCCAGAATGTGTGTGTGTGTGTGTGTGTGTGTGTGTGTGTGTGTGTTTTAAAGCAATACTATGTATTCAGAATTTCACATCCAGTAGTTATAGGTTCCATATAGTATAGAGCTTGGTTTGTAGTCAGAGGAGAGGCAGTATAAATTTGGTTTTTTAATTACACTTTTACTTTGAAATATCTTTGCTTTTTAAAATTAGGTTTATTGGTACAGTTTAGGTATACAATACAGTTACATTCATCATTGGGATCTTGTACCTTTACATGATGCATCTTGGTTCTTATTTTTTCCCCATTCCCCCGCCCTCCCTTCACCCCCTCCACCCTTCCCTATTCACAAAGACTTTGTTTCCATTTCTCATGTTTTTTTCTTTTCCCTTCTTTCCTTTCCCCTTCCCCTCCCTCTTCCCCTACTCATTTAGACCTTTTCTTCCTATTTGATTTATCGATTATACATTTCGACCCTTATTTACACTTTTAGTTTTTCACAGTAGAGAAAATATTTGGTATTTACATGTTTGTCCTATTTATTTCACTTAAGAGTATGGCCTCAATGTGCATCCATTTAGCTATAAATATCTCTAGTTTCTCATTCTTTATGGCTGAGTAGTACTCAATTTTATAAAAAACCCCACATCTTTATCCAGTTTCCAGTTGATGGGCAATTAGGCTGTATCCAAGCTTTAGCTATTACAAACTGTGCTGCCCTAAACATGGGTGCACATATATCACTGTGGTATGATTCTTTTAATTCTCTTGGGAAGATACCCAGCAGGGGCATAGCTGGGTCAAATGGGACCTCTAATCGTAGTTCTTCAAGGTATCTCCACAGTGGCTGCACCAGTCTGCACTCCCACCCAACAATGGAGAAGGGTTCCTTTCTCCCCACACTCCTGCCAGCATTTGTTATTGGTTGATTTCTTGATAGCAGCCATTCTTTCTGGGGTGAGGTGGAATCTCAGTGTTGTTTTCATTTGCATCTCTTGAATGACCAGTGATGTTGAACATTTTTTCATGTATTTCTTTGCTATTTCTACTTCTTTATCTGAGAAATGTCTGTTCATTTCAGATGCCCATTTTTGGATTGGGTCTTTATATTTGGGGGGTCTGATTTTTTTTAGTTCTTTATATATTTTAGATAGTAGACCTTTTTCTGAGGAACAGCTGGTAAAAATTTTTTCCCACATTGTCGGTTGTCTCTTCACGCTGTTGGTGGTTTCTCTTGCAGTGCAGAAGCTTTTTAATAAGATGAGAGCTCAGTTGTTGATTCTTTGTGCTAGTTCATGGGCAACTGAGGATTTGTTCATAAAGTCTTTTCCTATCCCAAGGTCTTCAAGAGTTCTACCTAACTTACCCAGCAAGTTTAGTGTTTGTGTTTTAATATTTAGATCTTTAATCCACTTTGATCTTAGTTTAGTGCATGGTGATAGGTATTGGTCTAGTTTTAATCTTTGGCATGTTGAAATCCAGTTTTTCCAACACCATTTATTAAAGAGGCTATCTTTCCTCCAGTGAGGGTGTTTGGCTCCTTTGTCACAGATGAGGTAGCTGAGTATGTCTGGAGTTGTTTCTGCATCTTCTAATCTATTCCACTGATCCTCGGGTCTGTTTCTTTGCCAGTACCATCCTGTGGCTTTGTAGCATAGTTTCAAGTCTAGGATTGTGATACCCCTGTCATGTCTCTGTTGCCTAGAATTGCTTTTGCTATTCTAGGTCTCTTGTCGCGAATGAATTTTTGGATTGTTTTCTCTAGTTCTGTGAAATATAATGTTGGGATTTCAATCAGGATTGCATTAAATCTATACAGCAGTTTTGGAAGTATGGCCATTTTCACTATATTGGTTCTTCCTACCCAGGAGCAAAGGATGTCTTTCCATTTTCATATATCCTCTTCAGTCTCTTTTTTCAGAGTACTGTAGTTTTCAGTGTAGAAGTCTTTTGCTTCCTTTGTTAGATTGATTCCTAGATATTTCATTTTGGGGGATGCTATTGTGAAAGGAATTGTTTCCCTAATTTCGCTCTCAGTGAGTCTGTTATTTGTGTACAAGAAGGCTGTTGATTTTTGTGTGTTGACCTTGTATCCATCTACTCTACTGAATCTGTTAATTAAGTCTAGAAGTCTTTTGGCAGAGTTTTTTGGGTCTTCTGTGTAAAGTATCATATCGTCAGCAAATAATGACAGTTTATGTTCTTCCTTTCCTATCTTTATATGCCTTTTATTTCTTTCTCTTTTCTAATTGCTGTGGCTAATGTTCCCAGAGCTATATTGAACGGGAGTGCTGAAATGTCTTTCTTAAAAGTAGTTTGAACCAGCTAATCCTTTAAAATATCAGATCGTATAATTGTGCCAAAGAGAACACTTTTCAAAAATATGTCGCAGGTGCCCTTTGGTTCTCTCATATGCCATTTTCATAGCAACCTACTCGGTGGTGGGTATTGCATGAGAATCTCAAGATACAAAGGTAAAAAGACACGGTGTATTTACAGCTTGATAGCAGGAGGTGGGTGCAGAGAAGTGTCAGTAATCTGCTGGGTGGGTGAGGACAATGAAGGCTGGCTCCAAGGCACTCTGGTGAATGCCACATGGGCTTGTCAGAAAGCAGTCCTGTGTCACAGAGGAAAGTGGAACCACCCTGTGTCCTCTAGGAACAACTGTTGGGATTGTTGGTGTGTGCTGCACAGCTTTCCTTTCTCACTCAGTGTCCCCTGTGTAAAGTCCCCTGAGAAGGTAGTAATTGTTTGCTTCCTGTCATGTCTTGAGATGATGGAGTCTCAGAAGCACACCTTGATGGGCCGCATCCCACACATTGGCCATTTCTATTCCAACTCAGTTTTTCACAGTCATGGATCTCTCTGTTCTCAGTGTGTGGTCCTGAGAGTCATAGACTGCCTTTCCTCTTACTAGTCCAGGGAGCAAGGAACAAGCTTACAGTTTGCTTACAGTTGGTTATATGTCTCTTGGAGATTCTCTTAAATTTCATGAACAGGCATGTAACACATTTATTTTTATATAAGATAGAAGCTTATGAGATCTTCCTCTCTTTAGGGGCCGGACCTATTGGGAAAGAGGATGATCTTGTCCTTGAAGGCAGGAAGCACAAAGCTGAGAAGTCCCCACAGTCAGGCTCCACAGTTCCAGAGGCTGTTCCTCTGCCTCCCTTGTCTCCATCTGAAACTCCAGCCCATCCCAGGAAGGAGCTGCTCCCTCCTCCTCCTCCAGCAGAGCACCCAAAGCTCCCACGCTCTGTCCCCACTCCTCTTGTGATTGCTCAGAAAATTTCTGAGAAGTTGGCAGGAAATGAAGCTCTTTCCCCCACATCTCCCTCCAAAGAAGACAGGCCTGGAGAATGGAGGACACTGGCTTCTCTAGCCCCTTGGAATGGGGACCACCTCCTGTGGCACAGACACATGGCACAGCCCCCAGCCAAGATTCACCGCTTCCCCAGTAATATCAGTGTGACCAACAGCTCAGGGAAGGAATTCAGTAAGACCATCTCAAAGGCGGCTGTCAATGTGCAGGAGCGGAAAGCCCAGGTCCTGGCCAACATCAATGGTGTCTCCTTCCACAATCCAGGAGACACAGAAGACCGGTCACAGAATAGTGACCTTCCAGAGCAAAGGAATGTCTCTCTAGATCAGACAGCACATGCTCAGGACACCCCAGGCCTGGCCACTGAGGCCACAGGCCCCCGAGCAGCAGGGCAGTCCAGCAGTCAGCAGTCCAGAGGCGTGCAGACAGAACAGCCCTCCTTGCTGCCCAACGGCTTCCAGAGCATCCACGAGGCCCTCAGGAGTGAGCCCAGTCCCTTTGTGTCCACTGGAAAGACCATCACCTTCCGCCCAGACCCTACTCTTGCCAGCAAACTGGCGCGCCAGAATGCCAGCAGGAGCACCTATGAGCCCCAGCAGCCGGACTCTAGCCAGGACACCAGGAGGCGGGGGTGCTCCCTCCCCAGAGCAGTGGGCTTCAGACCCCAGGGCATCACTGTGCAGTTCTCCGGCCGTGGCTCCACAGAGGAAGCCCGGCGGGAGGCCCTCCGCAAGCTCGGGCTGCTGAAGGAAAACTTGTGATGAGGACTGTGTCTTGGGAAGCTGCAGGAGGCATGTGGCTGGCCGAGGCTGGCAGAATGGCTGAAATATACCTGGTTTTCCACTCCCTAAAAAGAGGGTGAAATGAAACACTATTGTTGATACATGGTTATCTCGTACTGTAACTCCAGGAGCTGGTTGGTATAAAATGCACAGTCCTTCATCCCAGATGCTGTGCCAGTGCAGGAAAGAGCCCGGTGCTTGGCATCAGGAATCCCACAGCTGAGCAGATTCTCTTCTGTGAAAGAGAAACTAAGCTATGTCTTGTCATCTTTTTTCAGAGGTCTCAGAGAAAGAATAACCTTTAACACCTGTTGGCTTCCATGATTTGTTAATGCCATATGTTTTTAGATTCAGGAAGAGGGAGGAGACCTGATTCGTCAATTCTTGAGTCTTTGCTCTAGACTTCTATCACAAGTATGTAACATGAAAGCCATTTTAGATCTCTTCTACTCAGGATTTTCCCCTTGTTTTCTATGAACGTAAAAAAGAAATGCCCATTAAGTTTTTATAGTGTCATGATACTTTTTTGGTTTTTTGTTTTTGAAGGCTGAAAGATGGTACTTTGCCCCTGGGTGTGCTTTTGTTTCTTGATATAATTTGGTTTGCCCAGTATTTTAATTGATAAATTAAAATGAAACCTTTAGAATATCATTTACTATAATTTTGAGTTATGAAAGTAAAATAGAAAGGTTGAATTGGGAAAAAGTGGTAATTTTGAGAAGGCAAGTCTCCTCAGACTGCAAAACCTATTTTCCTAGACCATGTATATGAGTTTGCTGTGTGTATATATGTACATAATGTGTATTAACATATACATAGGTATTGTGTGTTTGGTGTGCATGTTATTACATACATAAAAAACTCCTGAAAATCCTATTAAATAACTTCAGGATATGAGCACTTCCTATTCTCTTGATAGATGCAGCCACCTCAGCATTGTGATGGATGACATAAGAAATTGCTTCCTAAAAGGGAAGTCTTTTTAGGCCATGTGTACATTTGCAAACATAGTTTTTCCTCAATGGTGTATTCTTCTGTTCCCAGTTAAAATAATATTCCCTGATTCCAAATAAGCCACATTTTTCCTTTTTCAGTGAAAAACATTTTTAAAAACTGATCTTTTTTTAGTTTATCACCTCACTTGAGTTTTGTGTGTTCCAAGGTAGCTAGGAAACAAAAGATTCTCAAAAAATCCCTCATTGGTTATGTTTCATGAGCAACATCTCAGAATTAATTTAAAAGGGGGAAAACAGTGAACTAGGTTACACAGCATGAAAAGAGCTGGTTTGTCTCCCAGACTATGTCCTACATGCTGAGTTGTGGCCACAGCATTATTATCAAAACTATTTTAAATCTGGAGTCTTCAACCTCTGAAAATAGATGAGGAGGGGCTGCGCTGGGCAGTCATGCCCTTCTGTTTCTGTATCCCTACCAGCACCGTAATAGGGCCCGTTTCTTTCCTGCTGGGTATTACTGAAATTCAAACTTTAAAATGTACTGTGAAGGGCATTTTTTTTGTAGTATTCCACTTGCCTTATAAGTTACATAAAACAAATGATTATGGTTTTTTTTTCCTTAGAACCACAGTATTTAGTGTCTCATCCAGTTCATGTTCTCATGAAATAATCTCAAAGATTCTTGATGATCTTAACTTAAATAGGTGCTTTGATTTTTTTTTTATTCCAGTTTATGTTGGATTTGTTTAAAGGATTCATGAGTTTCCTTTTTACAAAGTGAGATGCCATATACAGTGTTTGAGGGTCTTGGTAGAGCTAATATTTTACATATCCTTTTATATGAGGATTGTTTTTATCTTACCCTATGATTTTATTGTGAATAGGTGAACTTGACTGTATATTAGTATGTTTGTTCTTATAATGACATTTTTGAAAAATAAATTTAGTTTTATCTTACATATAAGCAACTTTGATTTTGACATTATGCACAGTATCCTGTTACTTTCTTTTAAGTGGTTATGTCTTTTCCTTCTATTTATTCATAATTATACTGACTTTACTCAAGTCATTTCTTATGCCCACAGTCTTTGTGATCAAAGCCCTACGTTTTCTAAGAGCTTCAAAGGACAGTTGCTAGTGACCTAACCTGTATGTGTACATAACATATTAACAAAAAATCTAGTTTGCCAAGAGGCATTAGTTTCCTTGCCACAACTATGTGGTGTTACATTTGTAAAGGCCGTCTGGTTCAAGGTAATTTGAAGGACTATATTTCAAAAAAAGATTGTAATGAAAAGGAAAGATGAATCCGAAATGCCAGTTTCTTTTCAAGCGATGCTTGTAAATCTTTCTCTTATGTTTATGAAACTCTTAATATTTAAAAATCAGAAAAAATTCTCCTTTGCTTTTAAGGAAGTGTACAAATGTCCAGACTCAAGTCTTAACAAGCAAACAGCACTACTTTGCAAGAACCAAGATGAGACCATTTGCTCCAGGTCTCTCTCCCACCATCATCCTTCCTTTGACATTTGGTCCCCAGTGTGCATACTTTTCTTCACAAATTTGGCAGCAATTTTGGACTTTTCTTTATTTCCTCCTCCTGAAGTACACATTCTTCTATAATGCTGCTTGAGAAGGCACAGGAAGAGAGAGATTTGAGGATGCCACCCAGCAGGAATTCTGAGGGCACTGCTGTGCACAGTGTTTAACATAGGGCTCTCTGCTCTGTGCATCTTGCCCTGAGGCAGAGCCACTGAGGAGGCAGTGGCCAGGGCTCAGTGCCTGAGCTGCGTTCGTACTCTCCCCCTCTTGGGCTGGGCAAGCTGACTTTAATTATGAAGGATTCTTTGCTCAAATCTGGTGAGTAGCTCCCATAGTAGGATCCCCCATTTAGAACTGGCTTTCATGAAGCACTTGTGGAGCCCTTAGCACTGACCTTTTTATTAAAAAAAAATCGGGCTGGGAATGTATTTCACTGGTAGAGTTCTAAACCATCATGCATGAGTCCCTGGCTTCATTTGCCAGGAGGGGAGGAAATCAATAGTTCATACTTTTTAACCCCTATAGCTCTAACTGGGGATTTGACCTTGCAGAGAATTCAGTGGTGATTTTTTTTTTTTTTGTATAGGTGATCTAAGAAATCAGTTCTTAGCCAGGCATGGTGGTGTGCACCTGTAATCGCAACACTCAAAAGGCTGAGGCAGGAAGATTGCAAGTTTGAGCCCAACCTGGGCTACTTAAATCCTATCTCAAAAAATAAAAAGTAGTTGTTTGTAGTGAAAGCCCTGGGTTCAATCTCCAGTACTACAAAAAGAAAAAATCAGTTCATTAATGAAGAGAGAGAAATAAGATAAATATGACAACAGTTTTATCAAGAAATGTGTACCTTGTGTGCTGATGTTTTCCAAATGATATGCATAATGGGAACATTGTTTCTCTTTGGGTGTATTCTGTCCTTATGACATAGCAAGACCAATAAATTTTTTTTGTCCCTAAACTGCTTCCTGGGATCTTAAACTTACTGTCCAGTTATGGTGTTCTCTGGATGAGCAGGAACCTTGTTTTCCTGTGTTCCTTCTTGTCCTGTGCCATGGTCCCCAGCCATGGCTGCTGGATGGAAGGAGGAAGGGGAGGAGTTCAGGGGAATGTGCACCTGTGAGAGGTTGATGTGCTCACTGAAATGACAAGTTACCAAACAGGTTTTGTGTCTTCTCTTCACAACAAGGCTTTTTTCTCTGCTTTAAAATATGGGGAACAAGTACCCATATCCTTTTCTAATCTACTAGTTGGACAAGCCCTGCTTTCAGATATCTGAGAAAAGAGGACAGAACTGTAAGCTGCCACATCCTGGGAAAATTGGAACTCTTTGTAATTGAATTTGAAATAGAGACATGGCCGGAACTCTTGTTCACCCCATGGCCTTCCACCTACCCCTAGGTCCTCTCCACTCACCCTCCAGAATGACCAGCTTTCAGAGGCATGAAAGCCCATGGGTGGGAACTGGGCCTCAGCAGAAGTCTAAGGCCATCCCACACTTTACAGCCTGGAAATAGCCTTTGTAGGTGACAGCTGAAATCCTTCCAGAAGGTCCCATTTTTCACAAAAACACAGCAAAACTGCCCTGCACATTCCAAATTCGTAAGACTTCAGAAATGTCGATCACTCTGATCACAGCAGGTTCCACTGTCCCTCTAGTTATTGTCCCAGGAAGGGGTGGGGAGCCATGATACTGCCAGAAGCGGAAAGATTTCCTTTAGGCTGGTTTCTCATCCTCTAAACTAGCTGAAAGGGCAGAGATGGTAATTTCCAGCAAAGGCCTGAGAAGCCCAGTGGCCTGGCCTGCCCAGTCTGTGTTCTCCAGCCAAGGGCAGCAGAGCCATGGGGAGCCCTGAGGGGGAGCAGCACCTTACCTCCAGTGGTGCTGGCTACTGCTTGACTATCTTCCCAGTCCCCTGGGTACCTATGCCCCGGGACCTTCCACTTTGGTTCCTAGCATACAGAACAAGGCAGGTTAGGAGAGATCCTTACCTACCTCCCTGGTTGAGTTTAATGCAGGTTTTCCTGAACCCCAAGGCCATTTTAAGATTTTTTTTTTTTTTTTTTTGCATGGTACTGGGGATCGAACTCAGGACCTTGTGCTTTCGAGGCAGGCACAGTTGCCTTAACATTCTTGAAGCCAGTTGCTTCCTGACTGAACTTGCCATGTGAGGTTCAGGGAGGATTCGTGAAAGGCCTCAAGCCTCTCTTCTGGTTGCTGGAGCTCTGAGCATGGGCCAGCCACTTCTTGGCTTGGGTTCCATTCCCTCCATTTCATTCCCCTGCCTGCAGTCAAGGCAGTGGCTGTGACTGTCCCACCCTAACTGAAGTAAAAACTGAAATTTAGAGCTGAAGCTAATGGAACTTAGTCACTGACAAACAGGTCACACTTCATAAACTTTAACCTCACAGTATTTGTGTATGAAGCAAAGCTGCCAAGGCTAGTAACCTAAATTCTGGAAATGCCTTCCAGGGGTGGGGCAGAATGAACAAGGAATCCCTGTGCCAGGCAGGCTTGTGTGCCCATGTGTGTGTGTGTGCGTGCACGCCTGTGTGTACGCAAGCATGTGCTTCCGTGCATACTTGTACACGTGCATGTACTCTCTTCAGGTGACTGGTCTGATTTCAGACCTTGGCACTTCTGATTCTGTGTGGCCGTCCCATTGTTTATTACGTGAGTGTACTACCTTTTGAGTGTCGTGACACAAATTAAGAGGCCTACGCTTGTTGTTAGAGATGGCTTTAGGCTTCTCTGGCCTTTGTGAAATGACATAAGTCCTCATACAATGAACATCATTTCTAGGTTAGTTCGACAGCAAGTTACAAGGATTTCTTCAGCTTTCAACTATCTTCTCTGGCAATCTCTCTCTCTCTCTCTCTCTCTCTCTCTCTCTCTCTCTCTC